CCGTTGGCACTGTCAAGCAGTTGCTTGACCTGCCTATATGGTAGTGCCGGGCCTGGTGTCAGTTTCAGTGAATAGGAAGGTTTCAAAGAATAGCGACGGGTCACTTTAAATCCTCATGAAATGTATTTTATATTCAGCTAGAGTAAGTACCTGAATCTGTCTTGATGTCAGCCTGTTGCAATCTCCTTTACAGCAGCACTGAGATTTGGAGAATGCATGGCAGTACTATTAGTTAATAACGTGTGCTACATAGACATGTCCTGACAATGAACATGCTAGGTGTAGGGGTGTGACCAAACTGAATTGCTTAGCTGCAGTAGAGATATCAGGTCACCAACCTGGTTCTGCTGTATGGAAGGGCCAATACAACAGAGTAAACAGCTCACAGATATGCATTTTAAATGTGTATTTCGTTTCCTGGAGTTTAGCTTTAAATGTTATAGCTGGATTGGTGTAAGATAGCCAAACACTTCACAATCTGATTGTACAATCTCCATTTGATTTACCAACAACTGTGTGGTAGCCACTGACTGGATATTAATTAGATGGACTTTTCAGGTAGATTTATACAGTGCATAGTGATTAGTTGTGCTCGGAAATTGTGCACAGAATCTACAATCAGATTGTAACATTGTGGACATTTAGATTCGCATAAATTAACCAAACATCACTGTGTGAGGTCAGCTTTACCCTGTGCAGCACAGCCATAGAACTATCATGAGGTTTTAAACCAATAGGATTCGCTGCATTTTCCTGCAAAATATTGGGTGGTAACTGATTTCTGGGACCTTAAACACACTTCAGCTCCACATACACATCTAAAGGTACCCAGAGATATAAGATGAGTGTCATGTGACATGCTTGGTACTACCTATAGAACATATTTGATTGTGACAGATACGCCATCCATCCTAAAGACAATTTTTTATTCCATAGTAGCATGAGATGTATCCTGTGTTGACACATAAGTCTAATTTGAAACACACCAGGTTTAGGGATTTGAATATCTAAATTGTAAATGTGATGCCATACAGGTGACTCCTAAAGTAACACTTTTCTTTAATAAACCATACTTTATCTCTTTTATTGCTATACTGTATCAACTCAGCATTACAACTGATGGGATCTGTTCTTTCCCTATTTTACATGAGCATAGGGAAGAGTGTTAAGAGTGTCACTCTTTTACAAATTTTATTTCAGCATTTGTCCCCATCTTTGTACTATATTTATATTTGAGTTGCATTAGCACAATATAGCACTGAATGAATCTCTGTTTACTGCTACCTTTTGCTTTATGCAGTTCAGCATTAGACATCATAAGCAAAAAAATGGTATAAGAGTTTCCTGTGTGAATTTGCCCCAAAGCAACCATGTACTTTGCCCATTAGGGCCCACTGGATTGCCCATCTTCTTCAGGGTGGATACTTACCTTCAGTTCTTAACCTGGTGTGAGCTTCTACTCCTAGCAAGCCAGGAATTCTGGGGCTTCAGTAGGTAACCAGGTTAGCAGGGTAACAAGTTGGAGCTCAGTTTGGGTTAAGATACTTATGTGACAGTGCTTGTGCCTGGCAATTGGTCCTTTAGATTCTCAGTAGTTCAGTGTGGCAAGGAGGGGAGGGTGAGGGACATATGTCCCTCCTCATATCTGGAAGTAGCAAGTACTTAACAAGGTTCTGCTGGGGGAAATTGGGCTGTTGAGAAGCATGAAGAAGATGGGTCTGGGTTGTACTAAATGGACAAAGTGTAGATTTAAGGATGAAGAGCCTATTATACAAAACCATAGAGAGAACATTGCATCGTTACATCCTCAGTGGAAATGTGCTTTTATCCTCCCACTCTAGTGCCCTATGCTGGCATAAATTATATTCTACTAAAAATAAATACTGCCCACCTCCCTAATTACAAGTGTCCTCACACAGACTTGTAGTGTTGAGGAAGGGAGGGCGCGTTTCTGGCCAGGTAACGTTATGTAAAATCCTGCACTAAACAACATAGTAAAACTCTGGTGCCTCTGGGACTGCCCAGTCATATTTATACACTCTGTGTGCATCTGTTGTAACAAAAAGTGGATGAAAGACTATAAAAATGGATGCTTTAAGCACAATGTCTATCTAAAATATATTTTAGTTACTTCATTTGAGTTATAAATGTTAAAAAAATCAGTAGCAAAAATGTACTCGTAGCACACAGCTAATGTATGGAGGGGGTGTGTCATAGAAAGTGGGCCTGATTCCCAACAAGTGACACTCATGATGTAGCAATAGGTACCCTAATATGCTTTCAAACCACACATACATTCACTCTAAAGTGTATACAGAAGCTGCTTTGCCTCATCAAAGAAAGTAGCCACGTCCTTTTTATATTAATTCAAAGAAAAAAATAAAACAAAGGAGAAATGCAAGAAGCAAGGAGATGCTGATGAGAGCGACTCTACCCCATCACATCTAGAAAACAAGCCAAACTATGATGCTTCTGTTGTTTGACCAAACATAGTCTCGCTTAGCACTTTTGACATCAGATTTAAAACAAATACAGCTTTTCTGTGGAGAAAAAATATCCAGGTATCAAAGAGGAAAACCGGAATGAAACACCTGAAGGGATTACATGTGGAATCCACTCTTGGGATTAAAAACCAAGCTTGGCTCCACACCTCTGTTTTAAGAAAGTGTAATAAAAATACAAATTACGACTGAACACGCAACATCTCCATTGCTGATTTGTTGTGTCCGGCTCCCCACCGAGTCTCATCTTGTAGTCACTGAGCAAACAGGCTCCTCTGTGCAAGAAGGAACGTTTTGCTGCAATGCCCTTGTGAATTTTCAAGGTCAATTCCAGTAGTTGCAAGGCCCTTTGAGTCAAATGGCTGGAAAGCTCCTCAGAACTTTGAGGAATTAAGAAAATTATGTTTCCACTCCAAAATGGCAACATACACTTTTGCAGAGGTTCAAGGTATAGTATCTGTCTTCTTCACAATTAAAACTGGAACTCATAAAATATTCAAAAAATTAAATAACGAAAACATGATAATTCAAAACACTAACTTTTAGAAAGATACTTTTTTAAGGGCATCACTTCCCTCTTGTAGATGGGAAAGAGTTAAGGTGTGCCAACAAAAGATTGCTTGAAATGTATGGCATTAAGTGCGTCATTATACTTCCACAACATCTGCTGACATGAACCCAGGCACAGTCTATGGTGTATCTATCAAAGTCCAGTCCTTTCATAGCTTTTGAAATTGTTTACATTGATGACATTCCCACAACTGTTGGCAAAATTTAAGTTGTTTTTTTTTTTAAGATGCATTGACATTCTTATTTAACCACCTTACAGAACTTGGCAGCTTATGCAAGACTGTAAACTCTTAAAGCAATACATTTTATGTCTAGATGTTTGTAGACATTACAGTAAAAGCTCAACAGACCTACAAGACTCTGTGCCTGTACTCAATCTGTTGGGCATTCTTGTTAATAGTATATGCCTTGAAACACAATCATAAATCATCTACTTTTGCAAAGTGATATCAAGTCCTAGTGGTTGTGCATTGTTGAGATTACCGATGCTATTCTGTAGAGTCGTTCATGGCTTACACTTGTATCCACATAGGTAAACAAGATATCTGATGGCATTCATTCTTAGCAGCCTTTATTAATGCCGTTCAGTTGTCTCTTTTTTTGTAATCTTGCACCACAGGTCTCATAGTCTTGAATATTTATTTATTCTTTTGCTTTCCATTTGCTATGTACAGCTTTTACTCTGTCTTTAGTTCAACTCTTTCTCTTGTTATAATGCCTTTTGTAGCTCAAAGATGACACTGTGTACCTCAAACTTATCTCTCTTGGTTTTTCATTTGTAAGACATTCCAGTTCTTGTTTGTTCAAATCCTGATGGGAATGCCAGCAGATTGTATGCCCAAGTGTGTTCAGAAAGCTAACACAGGATTAAAAAAAAATATGGTAAATGTTTCCCTAAAATAATTCAATATACTAAGAGTTGATGAGCTGAATCATTGTGGGATCAGAGTCTATTGAAACACATTCAAATGTCCAGCCCACAGGGTAGGATCTCTGTTCTTCCCAATATCAGCTCTTTATTGCAGTTTATTGATGTGTAAGTTTGCCACATGTGGCTAAAAAGGACAAAGAAAAATAAAGAACAAAAAATAAATCTTTGAGTGACTTGTGTAAAGTCCATAAAATGTGTCCTTTTGTTTTTGGCACTGGAACAGGGGAAAAGGTCATGACTGCTTCACCAGGTGGTGTGAAGTCTGCTGGTATTATAATCCAGTTGCTCCTAGGGCCATCCCTGCACTGTGACTCATACATGGAATTGTCTGCATGGATTTGGGAAAGTCGTGACTAACCACTCTGCCATTTTCACCACTTCCTCCTGCTGTGGAAGGTCTTGGTAAGGTTGCCATCCGAACCGTCTCCGTGACTGTTTGCTGTGGAATTAAACAGAAGCCCTTTTGAGGAGGATAGAGGGTTTAGCCCCTGTCCTTTTGGCAATACATTTTGTTTGATAAAACAAATTAAATATTTTCAGTGTCTTCTAAGACCTCCTAGTGTACAAAGTTACATGTCAATGTAGGTTAGAGGGGTATTTCACTCATATCAAAATTAAATATTCTTTGTTCCCTTTGTTAGAGTGCCAACTCATTGCCTTTAATACAGTGTTTTCATAATGTCTTCAGTGTTAGAGAGTAACTTATACTAGAAAATGTTATCATGTGTACCAATCATCTACACTACTGCAATACTGATTAGGTTTTGATGGCCATCATGGCACAGTGTTGGCCAGGAAGTAATTTAAAGTGAGCATTTGCTTTCTTTGTAATTTGACCAGCGATGTCGCATGGGAGGAGAGAAGATAGTAGAAAAGGAAAGTCTCACTTTAAGCTGGCAATAGATAGCACACATAGGGGGTGGTTGCATGGTAGGCACTGCTGAGTGGCCCACAGTTTTAATTAATCATCAAACCACCAAAACCATTATATCTTTTTTTTTTCTCATGTTTGGAAATTCCCTGGAAGTGTTTAACTTGTCATTCATAGACACTTATAGATCTCTTGGTAATCCATATATCAGGGCTCAAAATTTCCACTCGCCTGCTTGCATTTGGCGAGTAAAAATAAAGTGAGGGCGAGTGGAAATTTGGGTCTCCAAGTATCGGTCCGCGGGCCGGTACTATGTGGCCCGCAGCCAGCTGACATGTCAGGCACGCGGTCACAGACCGCGTACCTGACTTGCGGGAGTAGCTCCACGGTCTGCATCTGTGTCTCCTTCGGCCAGAGCTCTGACAGTTCTGAGCTCCGGCCGAAAGCAAGGATGTATTAGTGAGGTCTGCAGCAGACCTCACTAATCACCCCTAGATCACCAGGGGTCGATCCTCCTCCTGCATAGACGTGAACAGGGGTGAGGAGTGTGTTATTATTTTGTGTGGGGGGGTTAATAATGGGGAGTGTAATATTTTATGTGTGTGTGGGGGTTAATAAAGGGGAGTGTATTATTGTATGTCTGTAGAGGGGTGAAC